TATTCCTTTTTACTGACGTTTTGATTATAACGAAGAAAAAAGGGTGAGTTATCCTCGTGTGTGTTTTTATTTTTTTTATTTTATTTGAATTTTAACTATTATTATACCGTATTTACTCGAGTACCGCACACCTTCTTTTTTTTTCAAACAAAAAAGAAAACAGGGGTGCGTCCCAGTCGGGTACAAATTTTTCTGTATAGTGCAATTCTTCAAAACTTCAAACTGTTTTCCCCTTTTCGAACTTTTTTGAAACTCTTTTCTTGAATGATTTTTTGCTTCGCGCAAGTCAAAACAACATTGAAATCAACTTTTAATTTGGCATGCTCTTGATTTGTACCCCTTGTGGTTTTAAAAAGATAAATTTGGTGAACTGAGAACTATAAGGTGAGCGTCTTTACGCTGTGCTATAATTTTTTTCCTAAATTTTAGCAAAAAAAAAAAAAGAAGACAAAGTGGCGCGTCTTACTGAAGGGTGCATGGTATATTATAGGATAACATTACTATAAATACAAAAGGATTCCTTGTTGTACTTTATTCCCAACTTTTCTCCTATCGTAAAAATGTAATTCTGTACTTCAGAAGAAGATTTTTTTTCTTCTGTCTAGACTGGAAAAAGCGCTGTACAGTATTTATTTTAGAACTTCATCGTTTTAGAACGGAGAAAGTTTTCTGTTGATCCGATCTTTGAAGGTTATATATACGGTATATATGTGCGCTACTGGAGGTTGAATTTCGGGAATTCCGCTCTTTATTCCTTCCAGGGAAGAACAGGGTTACACCGTGCTCGATTACTGTTCGAGGAACATGATCCAGATCCAGGAGGAATTCGATGAAACTATGTTGCCTGGAAAACTTCCCGATGGAATCAACAAGGCCCACGTCATGCTGGTTACTCTGCTGGAAAATCGGGAAGGCAAAACTGTGGAAATGGTGCGCCATTGTTTCCTTGGAGAAAACATTTTCGTCGATAAATAAATATAATGAGTACTATTTGTGAAAATATAAATAATAGTGGGAAACGAGAGATTTTCGGCCCTTTTAAATATTCTCGTGAGAATACGACTGTACTATGTGTGCGCAAGGGGTTTCATCAACAGTCGGACATACTGTGCTTCGGTCATATTTGTTACATTATCTCTACACTTATTCGTACATTAATATCCACCAATCGCTGTTAGAAGTGCATTTTATTTCTTCTCTCAGTCAATTAAGTTTAATTTTCCTGATTTCCTCCATACAGCGCATGGAAATTTCTAAATTAGCACATGAAGGTTGAATGAACTTTTTTTTTAGAAGAACAATGTCATGCAAAAATGTGGAGAACTTTTTTCTGAAGCTTCCCTGTTTCTGGCAATTCTGTTCAGATTTTCTTGACGCAGTGTTGTTCACTTGGGATGGCACTGTACACGAAATTCGAAAAAAGCTGAATTTTCCTAATGCACCACACCCTTTTTTCAACTGATTCTCCCTGCACGTGGAAAACATTTGTAAATCCACTTGAAAGCTGCTTATAGTGTAAAGCTCCTGTCGAAATTTTATTTTGGCAAAAAAAAATGGACATCGCTGTTCAGAATATTTTGCAATAACATCCAGTCCGCGATTGCTCCGGGTTGTCCTGGTTATAATTGTACGCGGTTTTTGATAGTTCTTTAGTAGTTGTGATCGCAAAAAAGTAAATTCGGACGTAGCCCATAATGTGTTCTAAGATTCTGGGGTTTTTTTGGATTTTAAATATTTTTAAAATTTATTGCGTGATGATACGTGAAAACTTTTTAGTTACTGCCGGAGTTATCCACCCATGTCACGGGGTGCTAAAAATTTGTCAGGTGTATATTTCATTTATTTTATTTTCTACATTTTAGATAATGGCTGAAACAACGACAAATTTCGATTTTTTTTGCTAGCCTGACAAATTTTTAGCACTCTGTGACATGGATGGAGAACTCTGACTGTACAGTAACTTATAATTATTCAGTAAATTGAAAGAACAAAATTTTATCCGAAAAAAATCCCAGAACCTCACAAAATCATGGGCAATGTCATCATGCCTTTTTTTTTAAACTATATATCACACCTACTCTAAAGATATCGGACAACCGTCGTAAAGTATTATATTTTTTCGCCGAAGTTCCTGTGGATGTATTGCGGGAGGGATCTTTTTTTTTCGGTGGCGTTCGTTACTGAAAGTGGAAGTACAGAACAGCATTTCGTCTTTGCAGGTATTGGCTTGCCCTGGAGACTCTGAACGAGCTCGATGGACAGAAGCTGTTACCCCGAGACGATCCAGTGACCCTAACGAAGTGATATACGAGGAATGGGACTGTCCCCAAGTCCAAGCCATTCACCCGTACACGGCTCAGCAGCCTGACGAGCTCAGCCTTGAAACGTCCGACGTCGTCAACGTTTTCAAGAAAACTGCTGATGGTTAGTGTCGCATTAAAAATAAATAACAATAGAAGAAAATAGTGCTATTGATTCATGCACGATGGTTCTCTCACTATGAAAAAAAAACGGAAGTGGTTCGAACTTTGTTCCTCATCGCGCTGAATGTATTAATTTTGCGGGTTTAATTATTCTCTGGAGTATGAGGAAATGCAGTCTTGAGGAAAATTAAATAAATAACCAGATGACGGCGTGTGTTAAATTTTCTCAACACTCGTTTTTTTTTCGAATGAACACAATTTATGACATTGCTTTGCCATTTTAAAATTATGAATCCCGTTAATTCAACGGATACTGTTTCCTAGTGAGAGAACTTTCGTGTATGCTGATCGTTTTCCGCTAATATTTCTTCCAATAATATTCTTTTGGACTGAATCTCGTGTGTTGTTGTTACCGACTCTGCTGCTAAAACTTGGTCTAATTTCATCGAATTGAAGCCACGCGCAGGACTTTTTAAAACGTTTGAAGCCAGTTTCAGAGAACACCGGCTTTGTGGAAATTATTTCATGAAGTCTGTTATGGATTGATGAGCTTTCGGTTGATGTTCATCTCGTTCAATGCAGGTACTTGAGGTCCGGGTCCCTGTTTGAAGAGAGAGAGAGAGAAAAA